TTAATATTCTTAGGCGGAAGCAAAGGCCACTTGATGTACCGGCGTAACCAAGCAAAGGTCAGGGGCTCATTCCTGCTGTACTGCCTGGCAAACTGAGAGGAAAGAACAAAGTTTGGTAACATAACCAGCATCCTCTTAGGTCTATTTAGAAAGAAAAAGGAGGTGCAACCTGTTAACTGTGGCTGTTTGAAAAGACAAGCTGGTTTCCATCCTGCTTGATACTTTCCTACTTTTAAAAAAACATTTAATACTTTATAAGAGACGCCACGAAATCCAGAGAAGCCTGAGTTTAGCAGCATGAGGTAAGCATTCAGGATGGATCAGCAGGTACTTAAGGGCCAGACAGTTCAGTCCGCTGCCCTTCCCCTAGTCCTGTGCTCCTGAGACAGTTCAGTCCGCTGCCCTTCCCCTAGAACCCTGTGCTCCCCACATGCCACACCGCAGCCTAGTGTGAATGGATGAGAGGGAGAGGCACAGCCCTCAGTTAAAGAAATGAGGACCACTGCCACCACCAAACCCTAATCCCTCCAAGCGCTTATCTGTCCCTGTGCGTCAGCTTTTGCACAGTGGCTTTCATTCAGGCCCAAATACAAGGTCACTTTATGTTTACATTTTCACAAAGTGTCCTATATTTAGGGTACTCTCCCAAGTGTTTCCTTTGGTGGACAAAGTACCGTTTGGAGGAAAATGGATCACCCTGGAACAACTCAAAACAGCCCAGAGCTAAAGACGCACCTGTAACAGGGACGAGCAGACGAAAGGCTGTTTCTTGTTGATGGGGGCTGTGCAGAACACATACCTCACCCGTAGACTTAGTGGAATATGCTGGATCAGCTCTGCAGAGAACTTGAAATCATCCATATTGCAGACAAAATACTGCCCATCAACTTGTGCAAAGTCTACAAAAATATCGATGAGATTGGACAGCGTTGTCTCAGGGAGATGGTAGGCAAACATCTCGATCTGCTCAGCAGTGGGGTGAAGACCAGCTGCCTGTATAGGAGGCACAGGTCTGTTCAGAATCTCCTTCAGCAGAGCCAAGTCCTCCCGGTGCATAGTTGTGACCTCTCCCTCCTTAAAGTGGGAGCTGAACCTGCCAGCTCGGCCGGCGATCTGCAGAGCTTGGGAGGTGGTGATTGGCTCCAGCTCCTTCTCTCCCTTTTCATTGATGCTGGGCTTTATAAGGGAGTAAAAAATAATTCT